GAGTTGATAAACGGGAGTTGATACACGGGAGTTGATACAGTTGATACAATAAGAGATTAGGTGACGCACAATTCCCCGTAATATAAATTCGTTCAAATTCACATTTTTTACCTTAATCCCTAATCGAAATTCATTGTTTTCGAGCAAAAATGAGCTAGATTTTGGAAATAATATGTAAAAAGGAGTAAATGAAGCTCGTTTTCTTTGATTTTAAGGCATTGAAAGTTATAAAAACCAGAAAATCACGATTCCACCGCAGGAAACGCGTGTCAGAACTTTGCAGTGCTCTAGCAAAAGTTTAGAAACTTTTCTGAAACAAATCTTGAAAACACATTCCAGGAGAAATATTCAATTTGATAATGAAAAAAAGAATTAGGTTGATTGATTGACTCTTCGCTGAGCTGGAGATTCTGGACTGGACTGAGATTCTGGAGTGCGGGTAATGGTGCGTCACTACTACCATTTGTACCTACTACCACTACTACTACTGCCATTTGTACTACCATTTGTGCATCCGATTATCCGCTTCTTTCCAACTTCCAAGATTTTGAAATAGAAAAAGCAATTAATCCGGCTTGTAGTTTCGGAATACCTCTAACCACGTCAAAGAAGCATTCGTTTTAAAACATCTCTGGCCTTAAACCTTAACAAATTCATTTTGAGAAATCCTTGTCACCTAAGTTCTTATCGAGCAAAACGAGCAAAGCAAATCGAGCAAAACCAAGACTCATTACACTCTCCTTCTCACCCTTTAAGCCAACAATTTTGAAACACTCACTAATCCCAGCAACTCGTAGACTCCATCTTCCGCTTTGTCTCACGATAACCTGAAAAAAAGGTATTTAGTCTAGACTGAATATCTTTTAAACTCTTCGATTGAAGCTAACGTTATTCAGTGAGGCTACTGTAGTCAGACTGTGGCCAATAGATCCTTTCCACGTTATTGTCCTTTTATGCCTAACTTTCGAGCCGCCAATCTTGAAACTTACAAAGTGACCGATGCTTGGTAAGCTTGGTTAACCGAACTTGACTTGATTTATCTTGATTAGTAAGCCTAAACTAAAGTCTTTCAAGTCAGAGGCTAGTCCTGGTGGATCAATTGGTCAGCTGGGCTGGCCTGGTTTTATTAAGATTCAACAAAGATTATTCTACAAAGCACTGTGGATGGAAAGCAAGACTGGAAGAAGGATTTCGAGGTTAGTTCGAGATTTTCTGGTTCTAGATTTGTGCAATCTCAGTTTTATAACAGTTATGACTGTTTTTGAAGCTGATTTTTGCAATTCTAGCGCTTTTATCCAATATTTAGCTGGCCCTAGAATGGAGCAATTACTTTGACGAATCCGAATTTTGAATCGATCATCTTGAAAGCATAATTTTTCTCTTTTTCTCGTTTTTAAAGAACTCTCCCGTTTCCAAGGTCTGTTTTTGACAGGAAAGAACACCACGGGAGTAATTATTTCCGTCATTTTCATTTATTTCACATTTTTCTTTCACCCGTTAAACTAAGCCCTCATTATTTGTAGGGAAAAGAAATAGCTGATTAGCTGAAGAGCTGAATAGCTGAATAGCTGAAGAGCTGTATAGCTGAAGAGCTGAAGAGCTGAATAGCTGTAGCTCAGGCTCAGGCTCTTCAGCTATTCAGCTGAATCCTCAGAAAAGTTTTGCTTAATAAGGTAAACCCTTTGAAAATTCGATTTTCCTTTTTTTGGTTAGGAGTTTGGACTACTAGTTTCGCGCTTACTAGACCAACTAGGACTACCGTTACAACCCTTTCTTTGAAACATTGAAAATTCTACGGCCATCATTTACCGATTCTCTACCGCAGACCGTTTTTTTGAGAATTTCTAATCTTACCGCTGTTCTAAATACTGATTTAGTATGATGAGCATTTAGATGAGCATCAAAAAAACGCTTTACAATGGACCATCACTCAATGTTACACCCAGCCTTTTAAGGATTTGTAGAAACAACAAAAATGAGAAAATTGAGGCTATGGAAAATTGCCAATCCGAGGAATATTTTCTCATTGTTAAATTTGAAACAAAACTATAAATTTGTTAAGTAGATCCTCTCCGAAATCGTTTTCGAAATAGTGTCCCTTTTCCCCTTTCTACCGTAATACTTGTCTCTATTTTTATTTAATCTATCCGCTTTTTATTTCTTTCAATATCCTTTGTGAACCCTCAAAGAAAGGCAAAAACTAGCTGTAATGATGGCTCATTTTTTTTTGATCTGTTTTTCGCACTCATTTGCGTTCCTATTTGCGCAGATCACAACCTGCTTCCACCTTTCTCTATCCCTTGCTATTGTCATCATATGGCATCCTTATGTCCCGTGATTAGATCTCTCGGCCTTTGCTTGATCCCTCGATGCCGGAGGAGAGCAGGGAGGCCGTGCGGGGGACTGAGGCAGAAGTGTGGTTGTCGTAGCCGATGATACTCCGATGGCCGGGCTGGGGCGCTCGGAGGGGAACCCACGACTATCCCGCGCCGACGCTGCTTAACTTGGCAGATCGGACGGGATAGACCGCAGGCTCTTCCTCTTCTAGGCCCCCTTGATGGCTCATTTGATGAATGATTTGTAATGATGATCATTCATCATTTGTAATGATGATGGCTCATCCCCAAAAATACCCCTCAACGTGTAGCTTTCCATTTTTACCCCAAAGAAGCGAAGAAGCGACGAAGCGAAGAAGTAAAATCAGATAAAGATTGGAAAAGATTGGATAAAAATAGAGACAAGATCACGGTAGAAAAGGGAAAAGATCATTTAAGAAAAAGGGTTTAAAGAGAAAATCGAATTTGAAAAAATTGAGTTTCAAGTTTATGAGTAATAAGGGGTTCTTTTGGGCAACAGTTACAAGTTCTCAAAGTAATCCAGCGCAAACAGCTAATTCATTAGTGCTTTAATAAAATCCGCTTTGTCAGAAATCACAAAAATGAAAATGAATGTTTTAAAGTAATGTGAGTAAAAATAGAGCCTTCCGATTTAATGCGTCGTCTTTGGAAAATAGAAAATTTAAGCTGAAAAGTTGAAATTGACCGAATTTGAAATTGATTTCTTTTAGAAATTGAACTGAGTGAATTTCTTTTAGAACTCGAGCTCAGGCTCAGGCTTGAAGATTTCTGATGAAAGATTACGGTAGCTTGAAGATTTCTAAAAGAAATTTAGTCAATTTCAACTTTTTTGTGTTTAAAAATGTTAAATTTATAAAAAAAAATCATTTCTTTAAAAGCCCATGTCACTTTTTTTTGGCACTCAATAACTAAATAATAACCTTAATAAACAAAAATTTCACAAAATAACTTTCCCTAAACGAAAATTGAACAATTTTGTTGATATTGTGAAGAAAATGTTTCCGTATTTCCTCTAATAAACGCCCCCCCCCCCCCTTGACCAACTTTGGACGCTTCGTTCTCAGCTCCATTTGGAGATATTTTTATGTTTAATATATCAAAAGATAGAAAACATTAAGAGCTATCTTTTGATATATTAAACATAAAAATATCTCAAAATGGGGCTGAGAACGAAGCGTCCAAAGTTGGTCAGGGGGCTTTATTAGAGGTCGGGTATTGTTAGCATTGTTTCGCGATTGAGATACTCTAGCTTTTTTTTCACAATTTACCGTATTTCTTTGAATAGAAGACCCGGTAAAGAGTATGATCGCGTACTCCTGCGTAGCAGCCCTTTTTAAAATTTCTTTTCTGCATAAAAGCTTTCAATCAAGTGCTATAGAGCTGGAAAATGGCTCAAAAATCTGTTAGCTCATGTCGTACAGTACTGGACAATAAAATATGATATTTGAAAAACGCTCGCCACTTTCGCGCGCCACTTTCGCGCGCCACTTTCGCGCGCCACTTTCGCGCGCCACTTTCGCGCGCCTGTAACTCCCTTGTCTTTGCGTTTAAACTATTAGTGTTATACATTTTCTGAAAGCTCTTTTCGAGGGCTACACAATGGTAATATTAATATTTAGAAATACGGTAAAGACAAGGGAGTTACAGACGCGCGAAAGTGACGATCGTTTTTCAAATATCATATTTCATTGTCCAGTAGTGTATTTTTGAGTCATTTTCCAGCCCTATAGCACTTCATTGAAAGCTTTTATGCAGAAAAGAAATTTTAAAAAGGGCTGCTACGCAGGAGTACGCGATCATACTCTTTACCCGGTCTTCTATTCGAACAAATATGGTAGACTCAAGCCTACTTGTAGCTTCCATTCAATGAACATTCAATGACTCAAAGATTACGGTAACTTGTCCACCATTTAGACTCAAGCCTACTTGTAGCTTCCCCTCAATGAACATTCAATGACTCGACGATTACGGTAACTTGTCCACCAAAGATTACAGTAACATGTCCACCTTTAGAAGGCAACATTTAGAAGCTCATTCTTCAAATGAAGCCACTTTAGTGGCTTCAGTTGTTCAGTTCAACTTCAGTCCAACTTTAGTCTTACGCTAACTTTACTTTACAATTTACATTCCAATTTTTATGGGGGAAACCTGTAAAATTCACTTTTGAAAACCCATTTTTCACTTTAAAGAAAAACTGGGCTTAACTTTAATGACAGAAAACTGAGTCCCCCAAACACCAACCACCACGCGAAACATTCTCGAAAACATTTTCCTAATAATATCACGGAAATGCAATCATTTTTTTCCCGAAAATTCGATTTCCCAAGCTCAACTTGAACACCTAGAACTTGTTAAAGAAAAAGAAGTGTTTTAAAGATGATGAAAAAGTTAATTAGTTTTCCCTTTTCCCTTTTCCTACCACAATTTCCCTTCTCTACCACAATTTTACACCGCAAATTCCCTAAGAAAGAACAATTTTACGCAAAAAACTCACTTTCTTTTTGTTTCACTTTGTTTTTTTTCTTTGGAAAATCTTTCAATTTTAGCAATTTTAGCCATAGTATTTATCTTTATCTTTCTCTTGATTCTAAAAAGATTTCTCTATTCTCTAAAGATTCTCTACGAATTGCAATATTTTCTAGGATGCAAATCCTCGTCACTTGTTGCGGGTCGCTTCTGCTGTTGGCGCTCGTCGAAAGCGGGTTGGCTCTTCGGTTTTGAAAGGACTATCCCTTTAAATCAATTCTAAACAATTTACATAATTTTCTTCTGAAAAAGAAAAACAGGTTTATAGCTTTCAAATTAGCCTTTTCTTTCAGAGATTTGCTCAACGATCGCCCGACAGCTGATCTCGCGAAGAGGCCATTGGGTGGGTTTTAAATGGAAATAAATTGCAAATGAAATGCTAATGTAAATGCTAATGCAATTCCAAATCCAAATCCAATTCCAATTCCAAATCCAAATCTAAATCCAAATCCAAATCCAATCCAATTCCAAATCCAAATTCAAATCCAAATCCAAATCCAGATCCAATTCCAAATCCAGATCCAATTCCAATTTCAAATCCAGATCCATATCCAAATCCAAATCCAGATCCAAATCGAATCCAAATCCAATTCCAAATCCAATCCAAATCCAATCCAAATCCAGATCCAAATCCAGATCCATATCCAAATCCAGATCCAAATCCAAATCCAATTCCAATTCCAAATCCAATCCAAATCCAGATCCAATTCCAATTCCAAATCCAATCCAAATCCAAATCCAAATTTTCTAAATCTTTTCAATTTAAACAAATGATTTATCTCCAAAAAAGCTTAAAATTTAACGGTTTTTAAATGGATAACTTTAGTTATAGAAATTCCTCTTTTTGTCCACTAAATCGACCTTTAACCTCTTTCTTAAACTTGAAACTTCTATGAAATAGATCCAGTATTTCCCCCCATCAAATCGATTCCCTAAAGGGTGCCCCCTTCCCCCTGTCTACCGTAATACCAGAATTCTATAACTGTACTTCAGTACAAAGACTCAAATTGAAAACTTTCGAAACATGAAATTTGCAGAGCATCCACCCCCGCCAGCCGGCCTTCTGCCGTTCGTGGATGAGTCAAAAGACGGGACTCCCGAGCAAATCGGTACAAAAATTACATCCAAAATCCCCACCGAAACTCAAAAAATTCGAAAAACTCGTAAAGCTGAGAGTTTGGCAACGAAAAAATCTTCGAAAAATCGAAAGATTCGGCGAAAGAAGAAGCAGCTAAAAAGGGAACAACAAAACATCGCAACAAAACAACAAAACAAAACAAAACAAAAGATCCGGAAACAACGTGTCAGTGCAATTGATGAGAAATTCGAGAATTTAACGGAGAAATTCGACTCCCAAGCCAAGGATTCTCTTCAAGACGTTATTGCTAAGATTTTAGAAAGTTTTGGGAAGAATTTGCCGGAACAAGTCGATTCTGCCGCCAAAAAGACATTTGATGCGCTTGAGAAAGGCGGGAAATCGAGGAAAACGACGATTTTTATCCCGAAACATCTCGTCAACTCGAGCTCGACCGGCAAATTGCAAAGAAAAGTGAAAAAGTTGAGGAAAAAGAAGAGGAATTTGATTGTAAAGAGTAGTGTGCTGGACCCGGTGAGTAGTACTCTGGCGTACACGAGAAATAAGAGAAAACGAGGGAATCGAACGCCTTTTGGAAATCGTGGACAAGCTACCGTAGTCGCGAAGTTGAATGCGCTTTTAAAAGGTGATAAAGCTAGAGTAGCCGAGAGGTTAAATGGTGGAAAAGCTACCGTACCCATGGCGAAAGCTCCTCCACTTACTGTACTCCCGTTTTCGTCTCAAAATCACATCAACGAGCCCACGATTTCGCATCGATCGATTGGGGGGAAACGTCGGAAATTCCCGATTCGAATCATCCCGCAAAGGACTACGGTAGCCACTCAACAGACTACAGTACCCTTCGAGAAATCTGTGAAAAATCCAGCTATCCTATCCAAAACTCGTCTAAAAAGTGACTCTACAGTACTACCGTACAGTACAAGTGTCACAGAATCGTTGAGAGATCGAAACGCTACAGCCACGTCTGCTCTAAACAATGCTGTGCCCAAGATTAGTCTAAAAGATAAAGCTACAGTAACCCTTAAGACTGACAGTGAGAATCGTGATTCAACTACAGTAACTCGTGACTCAACTACAGTAACCCATGACCCAACTACAGTAACCGGTTTAAAGCGTGACCCAGTCACCGTACCCTTTGAGAAATCATTTAAAAAGAGCGCCTCTCCACTTGACGAACTGATTCGCCGAAAAAGAGATCTTCAAGTCCAAGCGGCTCAGACATTTTCTGGGGGTACTGTAGATGTAAATGAGCACAGCTTCACTGATCAAGAAGTACATAGCTTCTTTGCCGAGAGTTTTGAGGGGACTACGGTAGCCCCTGTGTCTACAGTAACCTTTGAGTCAGTAGTGGACCCTGAGGAAAAGATTTTGGAGTACACGACAAGCGTCACGACTCTTGGAGTGACTTCACCTGGGCTCGAGCTGCCCGAGTACCCGGATGACATCACGGAGACGAGTACGGTCGCTGGCACTCTAGCTTCAACCTCAGGCACCCTGGAAACGACAAATACCGTGACCCAGATGGCTACAGAACCAGCTACAACACTCTGGACTACGGTAACTCCAGTGCTGCCCATCAACAACCGGGAAACTTTAGCTGAACTCGTGTCAATCAAAGCGAATGATGGACAGGGCACTCAGGCTACTGTAGGCACTCAGGAAAGCACGGGAATTGGCCGAGAGGGTACTGTAACCACTCAAGACCCTTTTTCCGATTCAATCTTCTTCCCTGAGATCACGATTCAGCCACCCATTGAAATATCGGATAACGAACCGACAACGACTACGGCCACACCAAATACCGGCTTCTTTGGGGTTACGGTAAACCCGCCAAGCGATGATCAGTTAGCTGAAGCCGAGAAAATTGTGAAGATTAAAGAAGAGCGGAGAAAAGTCGAAGAGGAAGAGTACTACAGGACGAGCACTGAGCCAACGAGTGCAGCTACAGTTGTGAGCACTGTATTGGATCGTGATGCGGAGGGGGGTATTGTAGAGGCTCAGGGTGCTGCCCAAGAAGGTACTGTAGCTGATGGAGGTATCGGAAGAGGCCTTGAGGGTACGGTGATGGGTCAGGAAGGCACTGTAGCCACCGAGGAGGGTACTGTGGGCGGCCAGAGTTCAACAACGGAAAAACTAGAGCCCTACACTGGGACCACGGTCGAGCCGACCCTGTACAAGGTCTTCGGTGACATCAACGACGATTTAGAAAACGCGAATTTTGTCGGGAAATTCAGCCTACAAGAGGACCCGGAGGAGCTACAAAAGGAAATCATCGGCATCGTCAAAGCCGTGCAACCAGCGCTGGAATCAAATGGATCCGTGGTGATCCTGGAAGCGGATGTGCGCGGAATTGACGAGAATTTGGCGCCGAATTTGGTGGTGAAACAGGTGAACAAAGCGCTGAAGAAGGTGAAGAAGTTGAGGAGGAAGAAGATCAAGAATGCAGAGATCAGCACTGGAGATAAGCAAGGACATCAGATTCCATTACAAGCTGGAGCTGGAGCTGGAGCTGGCCAAGTACTTCAAGTACCTCTACAAGTCAGTGCTGGAGCTAGTCCTGGAGCTGGACAAGTCCACCAGGCACTTCAAGTACCTCTACAAGCCCGGAGTACTGTAGCTGGCCAAGCCAAGTCACTACAGCCTCAGCCTGGAGCTGGCCAGATCCAACACCTACGACAAATCCCTACCGTATCTGGAACAGTTCGATCCAGCCAACAACTGCGACAAGTCCCATTGCCACCAGCCTACGTACAGCAACAACTACAACCCGTTCCTTTGCCCAGTACCGGAGCTGAACCGGTTCGCCCGGGACCACACAGCTTGCCCAGATTTTGGAACTATCAGCTTCAGCAACAACAACAACCACAACAGCATTGGGCTTACTATCAACCACTCGGTCAACAGGTACAACCAGTTCTGCAACCACCCCAACAAGCTCTACCGGTTCAACAAGTTCAACTACAAGTGCTTCAAGTCCCACAACAAGTCCAGCCGCAATCCCACCAACTGTATACACAGGCTCAAGTTCAACAAGGATGGCCACAACAACAGCAATTTTTGTCTACGAGATTTGAAACTCAACCTGTTCAACAAGTCCAACAAGGTCAACAGATCCCACAAGTGAAACAGCTTGAACAAGCCCCCCAACCACACCACCCATCCCATCAACTACAAACCAGCACTCCCTACAGTAATCCCCGTGCTGAAAAAACCAAATCCTCCCACTTCATCTCGACCCGGGAAATCGAATCGAAGTCAGGAAAAAGCCACTATCGTCCGCCCACCTCCCAGCAAGCTCAAGAAGTGCTAGCGATAATCAAAGAGCTCAAAAAGGCGCAGGGATCCTCAAAGAAACCCCAAAGTTTTTCTGTTTTCACAACAACGAAACAGTCATACTTCATCTTGCCAAATGGACGAGTGCTTGTCGTAGCCGAAGAGTCGAGATTGGCCAAGCATCGGCTAGACGATGAGGATAAAGTTGTGGAAGCGCCGAGGGGGAAACGAATGCTTTTCGAGCCGGAGCGCAAGAAATTGGATGGAGAAAGTGGGTATGATGAGGTGAAGATTCACGATGGATCGTTGAGTCCGGAAGAGATTGAGGCAAGGCAGTTGGAGGGAGAAATCGAGAAGAAAATGCGAGCGACTTTTGGCGATGAGGCGATTGATAGGTTGGCGGTGAAATTTCGATGGGTTTTTGGGCTTGGGTTTTTTTTTTGTTTTTGTTTACACTCGGAGTGTATTTCGGTTTTTCACGGACTAACAATGGCTTTAGAACATTGTAACACGATTTTTGCTGTGAAAATTGACTCACAGATCAGCTAATATTATCGAAATGGTGCCAGGAGATTGCAATTATCATAATTCGATTATCGCAATTGATTTTAGAACTCTAACAAAAGCTTTTCCTTTGATTAAACTGTGATTTTAATGAAGAAATCTAAAGAAAGAAGACTTACAGCGTCTCTCCGCTGTCGCTACATGCTTTCCGATCTTCCACCGAGATCCCGACGCGCCATTTGCAATCGAATGGTGGCACGGATGAACAGGTCGCAAATCTTCGTCCTAAAGCAGAAAAAACGTCTGCCTGTCTGTTTGTCCGTCTGTCTGTCTGTTTGTCCGTCTGTCTGTCTGTCACAAACACTTTCCTTGACGTCCAGATCGAATTTCGAGATGCCGTTTCTTTTTGTTCCATAGGGAATTTTATGCTGATTCCAAATCAAGAAAATCCATCAAAAAAACTGAAAAACTAACTGCGTCTAACGTTGCCTAACTTTCCCTTCACGCGCAGATGGCCGAGTGGTTAGATCGCGAACGAAAAACGAGAGTGGGAAAGAGGAGTCGTGGGTTCGGTCCCGAGAAAATTAGTTTTGCTTTTTCTTTTCAAAATGAATTTACTTTATATAAAAGGGAAGAGACGTCCTTTTGTCTAAAGAACATTATACGCGACATTTGCTACAATAAAGTTCTCAAATAACCTATGGAAACAGCCCTTTTTACGGCTGCATGTCCCCCAGTCACAGAGCTTTGATCTGGGTGATGGGGGAAGAGTGTTCATTGATTATTGGGGAAGAGTGTTCACTCTTCCCCAATAATCAATATTTATTGACCTCCGCGCGGTTCTCCTTGGAGATTCCCATATTTGAGATGAGCTAACTATAGGAATGAGTTGGATAAATGAAATAAATGGATCTCCGATTGCGCTCAGCTCCAACTGTCCAGCAAGAAAAGCGGTGTTAGCCAAGACGATGTGATTATCGATTAGCACAACAACAAGGATTATAAATTTACGTTTTCAGCTGCGTTAGCAGCTGGTAAATCAATAATTTCTACGTTTCTAAGAAAATTGAGAACTTTTTTGAAACTTTAACATTTCAGCTTCTGACCGAATCCGACAATCCATTAGACTCGGAAAGTTTCCCGATTCCACAAGAAAAGGTAAACTTTTAGCCTCAATTTCTATTAAACTTTACCCATTTTATTGTCTTTGTATCGTTTTGAAACAATCATTTTTCGCTAGGCAAGTCTAAGTTCAATCTTTGATCTAACCAAGCCCAGAGCCTCTTTCAAGTCGAATTTCTAAGCCAACCCAAGCCAAAGCCAAGTTTTTAGAACAAATTCAACAGTTACGGTAATTCAAATTCAACAAATTCTAGACCAAACCCAATTAAAAGCATTAGCTTGGCTTTCCCCTTCCTTTCCCCTTTAAAAGGCTTTCCCCTTCCCCCCAACCCTGGCTAAGAATGAATAATGAAAAAATCTAGTTTCAACTTAATTATTAACTTGAAAGTTGGATGTAATTTATAATTTGCAGTTCCCAATGCCCTCCCGCCCTCCTCCTTCAAGAACAATCATCTCTGGCGGCCATCCCGGCTCTCCCACCCAACACCAAAATCAAAATCGACGAAAATTTCAACTCCGACTAGTTTCTTTATACAATAAGCATTAGGTTTTATACTTTCATTTGAAACTTACTAGTTAAACTAGTTAAATTATTAGCTTAAACCTTTTAAAACCCGGATTTCAGTCAAAATAAAGCCTTTCATGACCTAAAACGAACGAACGAAGCAATTGGATTTTGAGTAGAAATTGAAATGTTTCAAATATTTAAGTAGTCAAAAGAATCTCTTTCTTTTTGTCTTTTTAAACTTTTAAGAAACGAATTTCTTCAGCAGAATCTCAAAAATAATTTATTTTTCTTTTGTCTTTTACACAGATCTTGTGATCAAATTGAGAATTCATGAGAGTCAATATGCAAATAAATTTTGTTGTCAAATCTGGGGACCTGGCGCAATCCCTAGAATCGTGAAATCAAAATGTTTTAAAAAATTTCCAAAATGCAAATTTTGCAATTTCCAGATGTTGTCGTGTGTTCCAGCTAGGCTTTTCTGAGATTTTGGGCATTTGTTTTCCTCTCAAAAGTTCAGATATTCAGCTGGTAGCCTTCGCGGGGGTTAGGGCTTACTGTAATAAAAGCGTTTAATTAAAATCTAAAAATCCCATAGTCTAACATGCACTCCAACTTAAAGATATGCAAATTTCGAAGATTTATTTCCCTATGAAAAGTAAAGATATTCAGCTGATAGGCTTCGCGGGGGTTAAAAGCTTACTGTAATAAAAGCGTTTACTTAAAATCTAAAAATCCCATAGTCTAACATGCGCTCCAATTAAGGAATTTCAGAATTTTGAACATGCGTTTTCTTATGAAAAGAAAAGCCCTCAGGAAATCAAGAAACAAGAATCAAATCAAGAAACCAGGAAATCAAGAAACAAGAAACCAAAACGCTCAAATCGGATCTCATTATTGGCTGCTGTTTGGGTACAATCGCTTCACTAGATGCGAAATTGATGGCGAAAAAAAACAGCCAAATTAGGGCCAAAAATTGTTTCATTAGTTGGCCACAAGATTTGTGGCCAAGCGCCAAGGCATAGCGCCAAGGGCGGCGCACTTGGTCCAGTCACTCACCGCTCTCTTCATTAATACAACTAAAGCAGGTTGCTTCTAGCATTAAAAATATTAAATACACAATATGCTATCGACTTTGAAGCAACTTGTTCCTCTTGAGATTATCCTTGACCTCCATGAACTTAGCCATGGGCTTTCGTCCTCTTCGGTGCAACGGAAACCCCTCAATGTCCAGCACACGGCAATTCAAACTTGTCGCTTCACCGGCAGCCTTCCTAAAAAAACCAATAATCCTGTTGAGATTATCCTTGACATCCAAAAACTTTGCCAAGTATTTCCGTCCTCTTCGGTGCAACAAGAATCGCTCAATTGCCAAAATTCCCACACTCAAACCACAGTTTCTATTTATTTAATCGGACCAATGTTGGCATCTTTAAACTGAGCCTTGTAAATCCTCATCGAATGACAAAATTGAGCTGATTCAATGAAAAGCGACAGTTTGTTTACGGGATTTTCTTTAAACACATTCACGATGAGACTGTTTTTCACAAAACTGCTGGCTGGGATGAGAGTCGACACGTCTGCGCCATGTCACCCAGTCGAAAATGGCACAAAATCTTGCCAGGGGACATTTTTTAAAAATCTAACACCGGTTTGGGATTCCCCACGATTGACTTGATATTCTCACAAATTTTCGGGTCGATCTGATGACTCAGGCTAAAAATCGATGTGGATCCCTTCGTCCCACGCGTCTACTCACTCAGCCATCCACGTCTACTCACTCAGCCATCCACCGTGTGGCTCCCTTCGTCGTGAGTGTGTTAAATGCAAATTTTTGCGTTTATACAAATCATTTTCCTTTCCCAGTCAATCATTCGTTCGAGAAATTCGGCTTTGGCGCGACGATTTCCGCCGCCAACGTCGCCTGGTATCAGATGAGTGAAAATGGCACTGACAATGTACTTCCGCCAGCCAAGAGCTGTCCTGTAATCCAGATTGACTAAAAATCAAAAAAATCTCTAACTATCACTGGAGATTTTTGGACAAAAAGGACTTGATCAACTTTCCCCAAAAAGTGCCTTCCCCATTTTCGCAGACTTTCCCATTTCAACACCGGCATTCGCTGACGTGCCAGCCAGATCGCGGGGAAAAGACAAAAAAAAAGTTGCTTGCTTGAAAAAAAATTAGATCTAGAATGGATCGTTGAAACAATTGGCCCAGCACCATTATTTTTCCGGTGAAAAGTCGCGAATTCCAATAGAAGCCTTCGCCCTGCCTCTTTAGCCTGCAACTTATTATTTAAAGCAGTTAAAAGTCTCGGAAAAGTCAAAAATCAAAATTTTGTTATCCGAGAATTGACAAATCCGAGAAAATTTATTCATGAAGCCTTATCAACTGAGTATCTTTTCTTTTCATAAGAAAACGCATGTTCAAAATTCTGAAATTCCTTAATTGGAGCGCATGTTAGACTATGAGGTTTTTAGATTTTAGGTAAACGCTTTTATTACAGTAAGCTTTTAACCCCCGCGAAGCCTATCAGCTGAATATCTTTACTTTTCATAGGGAAATAAATCTTCGAAATTTGCATATCTTTAAGTTGGAGCGCATGTTAGACTATGGGATTTTTAGATTTTAATTAAACGCTTTTATTACAGTAAGCCCTAACCCCCGCGAAGGCTACCAGCTGAATATCTGAACTTTTGAGAGGAAAACAAATGCCCAAAATCTCAGAAAAGCCTAGCTGGAACACACGACAACATCTGGAAATTGCAAAATTTGCATTTTGGAAATTTTTTTTAAAATTTTGATTTCACCTTATATTTTAACGATTTCAAAATCAAATTCAATATTTCAATCTGATTTTTGCTCAATCTGGATGGCATTTCGTTCATTTCGATTACAAATTTCAGGCTCATTTCAAATTTTCCACAAGGCATTTGCAGGTCTGACTGACTTCGACCGAATTTAACCAACATCTGCTTTCAAAAAAAGAGTTTTCATTTCAATTTTGATCTATCTGGATCGCAGTTGCAATTCATTGAACCTAATAATCGGCTTTGAAAAGATTTCAAATTTTCCACAAGGCACCCTTTTCTCCAACTGACGATCTTAGCCGAAACAACGCCGATTTCGGCACTCTCTCAGCTGTTTCCCGCCGAGCTGGCGCACACTCGAGCCGATCGCGTTTTTTGTTCGACCCAATTCAACGTTTGAGAGATGGAGAGAAGCCAGCCCCGTTTCATCTCCAAGAACATCTCCAAGGCTCTCCTCTGCTATCACGCGGATTGATTGACCCGGCTTTTCACCCAAAAATCCACTCCATGCGCTCCAGGATCGCAATTTGGCTGTATTTTTCTACAAATTCGAAGTAACTCCATCTGGACTGCCCGAAATTTCTCGAAAATGCTCACTTTCAAATGGTAGACGCACATTTTGTCCTTGTTGACGGCGCTCGTTTTGCACGATAAAGATCTCGAATTTACGCACGTTTTCTGTTGGTTAAAAATCGAAGTTTCGACGGAATCAAGAGGAAATTGTGCTTTGAAATTGGGTGTTTCAAATTCACGCATATGAAAATTGTTAGCTGGATTCCGAATTTAGCAATTGAAGAATGGGTTTTTTTGTTTAAACTTGTTTAAACTTGTTTTGTTTTGTTTTGTTTTTGTTTGTTTGTTTGTTTGTTTGTTTTTGTTTTGTTTTGTTTTGTTTGTTGTTTGTTTTGTTTTTGTTTTTTTGTTTGTTTGTTGGTTTGTTTGTTTTTATTTGTTTGTTTTATTTTTTATAAATTTATTCCTTAATGAAAAGTATTTTCAATCAAAATAATGACCGAAATGATTTGACTGAAAAGAATTGAAAAGGATTTTTGGGTGAAAGGCCGGGCCAATCAACCCGCGTGATAGCAGAGGGGAGCCTTGGAGGTGTTCTTGGAGATGTTCTCGGAGATGTTCTCGGAGATGTTCTCTGGAGATGAAACGCGGCTGGCTTCTCCCCATCCCTCAAACGTCGAATTGGGTCGAACAAAAAACGCGATCGGCTCGAGTTCAATTTTCAACTAATTCAATGATCAAAAGTCGAATTTTCAGAAAGCAGAAAGGCAGTAGGAAATTGTGACAACTTCTCTCTTTTCATAAATGTCATTGCTAATTTTAAAATTTGCATTTAAAAATGATTTAGATCTGATATTCGTTGAAATCTGTTAGTAGTCATTTTTGCCCAACACTGCGCTAACCGCTGTTTCTAGTAAATGACTTCAAAAAAAACTTCTACAAACAATTAAAAAACCACATTGACCATAGTAAAGCCACTAAAATCGAATGAAAAATTTTTCACGACGAATCCAGCCACAACAATTTCCCCTTGTCTTTGTTAGCTTGTGTAATAAAACTAATGTTTCAATTTTGTTGAAATGAAATTGATTTCGCTATAACTAGTAGCATTCTGCACACTTCCTGCATATTGTTTTTACTGGCAAGTACTGGCACTGGCACTGGCAGTACAGTACTGACAAGTACTATTTACTGGCAAGTAGTTAGTCCCAAATTCTCCTCATTTCTTAGTTGTATTCTTTCTTTTTTTGTATTCCTTCTTTATCCGGTGAATTACCTAAGTTAGAGATCCGATAAACGATTGGATTGGTGCCTCATCGAATCGAATCAAAAAAAGCTAAGTATAAGTTATTTGAATATCAGTGGATAGATAGAATAAAAGTGAATAGATAGATAAAAAAGTGGATAGATAGAACAAAAATAGAGACAAGAGGAAAAAGAAATAAGAAAGGGGCACGATTTAACAAAAGAACTGGAAGAGTAAATCTTAAATTTTAAAAAAATTGTGTTTCAATTTTATGGGTTAACGGGCAGTAGTTTTGGGCAGTAGTTTCCAATTCCTGTAGTTATTATAAAAACTAAATTCAGTGCATTGTTTAAACGTGAAGATACTGTAGTTTTTTCACAATTTTTTAGAGTCAAGCCAAGTCTACTGTAGCTTCTCCACCATTCAACTATCTGGGATTACAGTAAACAGAAACAAAGTTCTTTTAACAAAAATAGAGACAAGATTACGGTAAAGGGAAATGGGGATAGGGTTTAGGAAACAGATTCTTTTTACTTGCAAACATCGCAGCTCGTCGGATCCGAGTAGCCGCCATGTTGGCAGTTCAGTTTCCGAGAACTTGGACAGGACTTTGTTTTTCAATTTATGCAATCCCAATTGGCAAATTTGATTGGTAATAAAAAATCTTGAACTTATGGACTGATTTAAGTGTTCAAATTTGAGCAAACGATTAAATTTGAGGGAAAACTTTGAAGAAAAAAATACAATGTTTCAATAGAACTCAAGACAATTGGGGAGTCGGATCGTCAATATATCCTCCCCAAAGATAATAAAAAAGCTTCAACTTATGGACTAATTAAAATTTTTAAAAAAAGCTATTAAAATTTTTTTAAAATACAATGTTTCAATTGAAATAAAGTCAATTAAGAAATCGGATGGCCAATAAACCGGCCCTTCCGTCAACTTTGGACGAATCTTCTTGGATTATCAATGAAACGGTATCTGTTGTTGAAAAAAATCAAAATAATTGAACTGCAAATCCCAATTCGTCTTCTTAATGATCAAAATCGAAATCAATTTTGATTTCCAAGCCGTATCCAGTATTGAAAACTGCTGTGTAGCAGAAAAAACCCGTTACTCTTAAAAAATATATTGATGTTTCAAGTTAAATAAAATGAATGAATTATTGGTGTTGGGAAGATGTTTTGGGCCGTTTAAACCACTAGAAATTTGTAGAGTTGAAAGAGATAACGGATCGAGAACAAAAACAATCAGCTCATCTCCTTGAAGGATTGATACTCTGCAGCACAAAAGTTTCAGTGCTGCAAATTGAACTGACTCGATCAACGTTACAAGTTTCCAATCGTTTCTCCAAGTCTTTGGTTTTATTTTGAACGATTGACTTGGCCTGACTTTTAACTGACTAAGGATAAACTCATCTAACTTTGAACTCTTCGAAAAGTCTCTCTCTTGAGGCATCTTTAATTAGCTTTCCCTGGACGTCAGACTCATTTTCTAACTCAATTTATTAGTTTTTAAAACTTGACAAACTTTCGCGAAATTGTAGAGCATCGATTTCTCGACGGCCTCGTTGTTGAGGGCAACATGGGAGTCACGATCGTAGCGGGATTGCTCGTGGAAGACGCCGAGTGCGTGGGCCAGCTCGTGCGATGTGACGCCGAACTGGAGAATCGAGGGGAGTTTGCTTAGTTGGTAAGTTCAAATAATTGGAATTCGCTTTGTCAATTAACTGATAGTGAGCTCACTTTGTAGAAGCCGAAACTCTTCTCTCTTTTACACAATGAAAGCTGTTTTAGAGCTGTACCATTATTTATCTTTTGGATTTAATTTCACCTTTGGTACAAGACTTTGAATGTTTTCAAGCAAAAATGAAATTACGATTGCATAGCCTAGCGGTTACTCATTATAAGCTGCGAAAGACTCAAGAGGTGAGACTGGGAAACTTTTTGACAGAATCAAAACGTAAAACTCGATTGTTAGAGCTGTTGTAAAGTGAATGGGGAAACATTCCATTATTTCCGTCGAACTCGATTCAATCGTGAACAAGTTGAAACTCGCTTTTTTAAACGGTCAACAGAAGATCGGCAGGATTTGATTTTAGATTGGCAATCTGAATGAGAAAATAAGTTTCGAGGCTTGAATTTGGTACAGATGTTTGAGTCCAGTTGTACCCATAATTCACCTTATCCCACCATTCACCCGTGTGACCAGTGCCTATGCCTGGCATCACAAAACTCTCTAAAAAATTGGGTAATTAAATAAAAATGGAGAAAAAAAGAACGAAATGGAGTCGATTTTTTTTGTCCGTATATCTAAAGCATATTTCTAAAGAGCATATTTGTTTTAAAAACTTCTGAGGGATTCGAATTCGGAAACGGATTCGAATTCCCGACCCCCGAAAACCCCGTGATGTAGCCGAATCGGCTTAAAAAGTGCTAAATTCGAATGATCGCGAGTGTGTTAAACAATTGCAAAGTCTCTGTTTCAAAGTTTTTACGAATAAAATTTGATTTTTTCATTTAATTCTAAGTAGTTGTGGCTTCGTTTTCTGAAATTTCGTTGGTGCGAGGCTTTAAAAATCAAAATTTCACACTCGAGTTTCAAAGTTTTTGGAATAAAATTGAAAATTTTTATCTAACCAATATCTTTTCGGATTATCAGAGTCAAAAATTAGAGTTATTTCAATTTCTTTGACTTTTTTGACCGTTGAAATGTTTAAGTTTCAAAATATTTGAGATAAAATCGGAAATGGTTTGGTTAATGCTTGGTTCCTCTTCCATAACAAGATCCCGAATTCAAGACTGAATATATTTAGGTTCTATCGAAGAATTCGAAAGATAGTCAAGCTGAATACTGTAATGGGACTGTGGCTTACAGTATTTTAACCCATTCACGACGAGATAACCCGCCGATGGCCGGATTAGTCATAATTTTTAGCGTCAACTTTTTATAGACTTTTCTTTATTTCGCAAAAAGTTCTTGTTAACTTTATACTAGTTTTAGAGAAGTTTTAGGGCTATTAAATGAGCTATAATAGTTTAGTTTATCCTTGAATTGACATAAATTCATGTCAATAATCGTTGCATTTATCTTTGAATTTACACAATCAGTAAAACAGTAGTACATCAGTAAAACATCAGTAAAACAGTAAAACAGTTACATCAGTAAAACACTTAACGACTACACGACTGTACGTTCAAAAAACCGACGTCGCGATGGAAATGGTTAAAAAAATATCTATTTCATTTTGAGAAACGCTCAAGTTAGTTATCTGGTTTTCTGCGTGTAAACTCGCATTATAGTCTCACATTATAGTCTCAGCAAAGCTGCCTCGCACGAGCGTTCTTCCAATTCCAGAACTATTGACTCTTGATCTTTAACAAGCACTAACGCTGACAAGTTCGAAAATTTGAGACGCTCATGTTTCTTTAAATTTTCTATGTTTCAAAATATTTATTTTGTTTTGAGAAATGCTCAAGTTAGTTATCTGGTTTTTTGCGTGTAAACTCACATTATATTCCCTGCAAAGCTTCCTCGCACAAGCATTTTTCCAATTCCAGATCATTCTCTAAAAGCTATCTTTGAAACATCGAAATTTTTGATGGAATTGGTTAAAAATGAGCTAATCAATCATTTGTTTGACAATTTCTAAATTTATTAAACCTTATCAATCTAATTGATAAACCTTCAGCATCACATTTCAATTAAAATCGAAGAACGTTCGTTCCTTTCCTTTACTTTGAAACATCAAAATTTAAACGATAACTGGCTGTTTGGCTCTAATACTAGTTTGTAACACATTTATGACAATATCTATTTGGCAATATCATCGCTCTTATTAATAACAATTATTTTTAGTATTAACTCAAGTTTTTAAGGACTTATTACGCAGAAAATTCTATATAACTTTATACTAATTTTCAAGAGATTCAGGGCTATTAAATGAGCTACAGTGCGGAGCAAAACCATACGCCACCCCCTAAATTTCAATTTTCTCCGGCTTCCGTGCCAGTGACAAAAAAACTGAAAACGTAGTTAGATTCAGGACCAAAAATAACCCTTAAACCCCAAAAATCGTCGACATAGCATGAATAGGGAAAATGTAACAGCCAAAAAACGAAAATTCACCCGGTGCAAAACCATACGCCACCCCCCAAATTTTGGTGTCGTTGTTGCATTTTTGTTCAATTTTTATGATAACAAGGTTTATTTATAACAATAACAGTCTAATATTTTGTTGCTTGTCCCTGGCGACTGATCACGTCAAATATTCGACTCGGCATGCTGTCAACTAGCTTCTTGATGGTGCTTCTTGGAATAGCATTCCACTCGCGGATAATGGCATCTTTGAGTGCTTGAACATTTGCGTATTGTGTGGAATTGTGATAAACTCGACGAGCAAGCATTCCCCACAGATTCTCAATGGGGTTGAGATCGGGGGAGCACGCAGGCCAATCCAGAAGAGGCACTTGTTTTGACTGAAGCCATGACTTGGTTGCTCGGCTGACGTGGATGCTGGCGTTGTCTTGCTGTAGGGTGAGTTGATGTTGTGGAAGACTTTGCAGATATGGAAGAAGGTTGACCTCGAGCACATCGATGTAATCTAGTGAGTTCATCTTGGACGTGACAAAGACGATTTCCAGTTTTCCATGAGATGAGAAGGCGCCCCAACACATCACCGAACCCCCGCCGAAGTTTCGCTTTGAGAACAGTAATGGATTCTTGCGCAAGTCACGCCAATAAGAGTGTCCACCATCAGGCCCATCCAGGTTGAACTTTTTCTCGTCTGTGTAGATGATCTGAAACCAATAAAATTTGTTTTCTAAGTTTAAATACCTGATTCCAGTCAGTTGCCATGTTTGCGCGAGCAAAGAGCAACCTGTTCTGTTTGTGGATGACAGTTAAGCGAGGTGCTGGCTTCATCACCTGACGTGTGAGATGTGGCGAAGAGTTGATGGTTCTCTGAACAGTCCACTTTGACACTGGAAGTTGCAAATCACGCTTGATTTCATTTGCCGATCTCGTAGAGTTTGAGGCTTTGTTTCTGATATGGCGTTCGGCCCGTTTGGAGAGCTTCTTGTGACGACCATGCGCATTTGAAGTACCATATTTGAGTGGAGCTTTGAGGTAACCTTTGATACAGTCTCTTGAGCGATTGGTTCGACGACTCATCTCGGAAATTGACAATCCAAGTTGCTGATGAGATCGAGTTGAGCCTGCTCCCCGTCAGAGAGTTGAGTTGCTTTCGGCATTGTGTTTTTGAAGTTGAAGTAAGACAAAGTAAGCTCTTTAAGCCTCCTTATAAGGAATCTGAAGTGAAAGGGCGGGACTTATGTTTGCCAGAGGCAGATTTAGCTTTTAAACTAGAAAAAAGTATGAAATGACACCAAAATTTGGGGGGTGGCGTATGGTTTTGCACCGGGTGAATTTTCGTTTTTTGGCCGTTACATTTTCCCTATTCATGCTATGTCGAAGATTTTTGGGGTTTAAGGGTTATTTTTGGTCCTGAATCTAACTACGTTTTCAGTTTTTTTGTCACTGGCACGGAAGCCGCAGAAAATTGAAATTTAGGGGGTGGCGTATGGTTTTGCTCCGCACTGTATAATAATAGGTTGATGCATAAGTCTTTTCGTTTTTTTCGTACTTCTGTTAAAAAGTAACAAATTCACCAATTAATCTATAGTTTGCTCTATAAAAAAAGTGTTTTTTTGTTCAATTTGCATCTTTTTAAATGAATTTCGGTTGACTTTGAAGCAAATTCGAGAGTGAAAAACGCCTTTTTCGTAAAAATCTATAAAAAACTCTACGGAAAAATTGGCTCAATGAATTTCTCTGAAATTTTGGCGAAATACCAAACGTTTTTTTTTCTATCTTTTATCTATTGACACGAAGATAGGTTTTCTTTAGCTAAGGTGTCTAAACCGCATCATCGAGTTAGCCCTTTTTGACTACCCGACTTCATACTCTCAAGAAAATCCAGGCATTCAATATTTTTAAACCCGTTTTAATGTTATTTTGCAGAAAAATAATTGGTTTTTCTAATGAAATCAACCGTAGTTTAATTCGTGCATTTGTTGGCTTGAAACGGCAGACGAAAAGGAACAAAAACACTTATGCATCAACCTAATAGCTTAGTTTAACTTTGAATTTACATAAAATTAACAGCAAAAACTGTTAACGACTACACGACTGTACGCTTAAAAAACCGATGCTTACGACGGTTAATAGGTTACGGTATTTGTCTGTCTTTCTGTCTGTCTTTCTTTCTTTCTTTCTTTCTTCTTTCTTTCTTTCTTTCTTTCTTTCTTTCTGCTTTCCTTGGGCATTGACCAATATTGCATTTTGCATGGATATTATATGTTTTAAGTTGTTTTTTTGTGTATACCCTTAAATTTGAAACTAGTAATTTTTTATAACTTCAAAATTTTAGTTTCAAGTTATTTAAGGTGAAGAATCAAGAGGATCTACTTAATTCCAAGTTGTCATTCGATCCGTAATTTCATTCTGCATCGAATGACAAATAAAATAGTGAATAAAAATGAAGCGATCGCCTTTTCTTTTCACACAAATTTATACTGATTTTATCATCATAAAAAAAAAAAACTCCAAAAAAATAAAGGAGTACTGAAGAAAAGAAAAAGGAAAAAAGAAAAAAGAAAAGAAAAACTAAAGTGAAAATGTACACAAAGAATGACGCGTCAATCTGAAACCGTTTTCTCCGAGCCATCAACAAACAAAAAACTACTTTTTTTAAATTCCGCAAAATTCAATTCCTAATTTGAAATTTTGAAACTTTAAAATTTCAAAGTTTCAAAAATTTGAAAAACAAGAGATTCATGGGATAAAAGGGCTAAATTTCTGGATTTCTGGATTTCTTTAATGAAAAAAAACGTTGCCAAATTCTCTATTTACAATTTTTTTTTCTTTTCTTTAGACAATGAGCAATTTGGGGTTTTGTTTAAGTAAATTTGAGATTGAGAACAGTTCAAAAGTTAAGTTCCAAGTTTGAATTCCAATTTTGTTTTTTTAGCCAAGCGTTCGGCGAATTCGTTGCGGACAGCTCGACGGCCACTCCAAGCGATTGTGGAAAACATGTGGTGGTGGAGCGTCCTGGAAATCAAATCTATGCAACAAAGTTAATGTACTCTTTCTGAATTGATTCTTTTGAGCTACAGTAACCCTAGGCAGCCCCTAGACAGCCCCTAGACAGCCTCTGTATCTATAGAAAGCTACAGTAATCTTGAGGATTCTTGATTTCTTTTGAAGACGAGCAACGGTTGGATTGCAGTTTTAGTTGCAACTTTCACCCAGCTCAAGTTGAAACATAGGTTTTTAGACTAGAGAGTTTACGTTTTTCGTTTGAACAAACCCTCTCAAAGTAGGGCACAATCGAGCTCCAGAAACTCCATGAGAGAATATTTCGATCGAATGAATTCTCGTGATAGGAAAGCGCCAACGCGTGGTACTCCATGAAGAGCCGCGAGGAGACGGTGTAACTGGAAAATATCGTAAATACTCTAATCGTCCTCCTCATACAATCAGTTTTTTTTCTCAGCTCCTAGATTTCTCCCAACTACACTTTTGGTACCAAAAAAATACTAGAGGTTTCAAGGGTTATTAATTGACTTCCAAGCGCACACTGTCACATAAAACAACGCGGAGACGCATAAAGACGTTTAGACGCATAAAGACGCATAAAGACGACAGTTTAGTTTCAAGTTTTTAATAATTGAATTGACTGACCCCAAGATCACATCAATCAAAACGCGAAAAAACAAATAGTTTAACCGCCTTATTATAGGGCCGTTCTTCGAAAGGATTTTTGAAACGATTTTTTATTGGAAGTTTTTTTCGTTTTTAGGGTGAAACGGGGCTTTTTTTTAATAATTGAATTGACTGACCCCAAGATCACATCAATCATATAGTGCTTCCGGGCCATCAGAATCGCGGCGATCGCGCAAAAGGCCAAGATGTGGAAGAGGATACCGATTGGCTGAAAACTCTTTTTGAAATTGCTTATTTTACAAAACTTTCGACATATTTAGCGTTTATATTCGAAGTCTTTTAAAAATATTAGACTGGTTTTATACAGCTGAAGTTCTGAATTGGAAAAAAATGGAATTGGAAAAAAATGGAATTGGAATTGGATTGGAAAAAAAATATTGGAGTTTCAATTTCAATTTCAAGGAGCTCATTCTGAACCCAATTTCTATATTTATATTCAAAATTTTGAAACAATGCTTTTTTTTTTCAAAATAGTTTCAATTTGGACTCTTTCGAAAGCTAGGGATTTTAATTACTTGTTTAACAACTTGTTAACATACTGTAACAACAGTAACAACTTGTTTTTTGATCCGAAGATTTCAAAAAGAAATCAGTAGATGTTTTGTTGGATCTGAATGTAGGAAAAAGTGTTAGTTCGTTAGATTAGACGATTCAAAATTTATTTAATTACTTAAATTGTTCAGGGCATTAAGTGTCATTTAATGATGAGATTTGATAACGAAAAATTTTGAAACTTGATTTTTTTATAGACAAAACTTTTTTTAAATTCATTTACTTTGCTTGTTTCAAGTGCTTAAAACTACTCAAATTGCCAATCTTAACAAGTAAAAAGAATTCGTAGTGCAAGAAAGTCTTTTCTTAAATGCAAAGCTTCAAACTAAAAGGCTAACGATAAGATAGGTAAACTTTTACTGCTTCTTGTGAGGAAAAATTCAATTTTAAACTTTTCTGATAAACAAAAAGAAGTAAACAGTCAAATTTCAAGCTCAGCGGCTTTTCAGATGAAAAATTGAATTGATAATTCCTAAAAATAGCTCACAAACCTTCAACTTCTTCGGAGCATAATGCTTGAAAGTGAAGAGAGCCGTGAAAATGGTGAGTGTGTGACCGGAGACGATCAAATCGCCGCACAACTCGCGCGGCCTGGCAACTGCTCGATCCCGGCTGACCAGAACATTCGAGCGACTCGGGCTGCGATTTGTTTATTGTATTTGATCTGCTTTGTTGAGTATCTTAGCCATTCTTGCATTTTAACGCTGGATTTTTAACCATTTCAACATTTCAATCCGCTCAATTGGATTTGTTTTAACTCGAAACATTGATGATAGAGCCAGAAAAACTACTTGACCGTCTTGACTTCTTTGATACATTGAAACACGGAAATTTCAATTAACTAGAAACCCCAAAGATTTTGTCTTTTTTGATTCAGCTTAAAGTTTATACCTGATAGGTTAGTTATTAATCGAACTCAGTAATCGTAAAGAATCTCATGTTTCAACTTTGTTATCGATCCGGAAAAGGGTTTGGGATTTAATGGATAAGGTAGCCTTTTGCTTGATTTTACAAAAAAACCAAAACAAACACCTTTCTATGCAAGAATACTAGCCAAAAAAAGCGTGTGTTTCAAAGTTTGTGCTAAAGCGGGTAAAAACGAGCCTTCAATGGGCCATTGTAGGTGTCAGTTGTCCAACGGAAAACGTAAAATTTCCGCCAATTTTAATGTATTTCTTTTATGTCAATTGTTAATAAACCCACCAGCGACAATGTCGAAACCGCCGGCCGTTTTCGGCGCACAATACGTATTAACGGAGGGGACGGGCACCTGGAAAATTTCTTGAGTTTCAAATTTGTCCACTTTGAATCAAATTGCCAACTTTTATCAATGGAAGAATATTTTTGGAATATTATAGTTTATATTTCATTTCAAAATTTTAGTCTTTGCTTTGTTTACCTGAAAGATCGTCACACAAAACGCCCGGAAAACGTAGGAAAGACCGGCGCAGAGGAAAACCCGTCTTGCGACGATCCATCTGAAAAGTTACAAGGTTAAAAAACAAAACTCAATAAAATTACCATTTTTTGAAAGCTTTTTAAAGTAAAACGTTTATTTGGCAAGTAAATAAAGAGAAAATTCAAATTTTTTATAAAAAATTGGTATGGGAAAAGTACGTGTTTCAATTTTAATCGTGTTCAAACTCAATGTTTTGCAGCAATGTGTTTTGCTTTCTTTTTCACTTTTTTTTTGATTTCAATCGGATTTTTTCTAAGTTTTATCAACAATTCATTCGTCATTTTTTCTTTTCTTATACCAACGAACCGATACTGATGACAGACGACGATAACCATCGCGTTGATCACCAGAATCAACATGATATACTCGGTGATTCGGATGGCACCTTGAACCTGGAAAAATGAGCTCCTCTTTAGCCCTTAAACATAATCTGTTCTTTATTTATTGACCACAGTATTCTGGAATAAAGATAAAGGGCAAAAAAATCAGAGTATCGAACTTTTACAAACCTCAGGGAACCAAGAAAACCACAAATCGGGTAACGGGTCGACGTTTCGGGGCACTCGTTCGTGGATCCACGCTAGGGAGACTTCGTTTAAAAGCCAACCGAATGCCTGAATACCTTTTAATTGATCGACTTTTAAAATAAGACAATATCTTTCTCAAAAAAAAAGACAACTCAAAAGCAGCTCATCTCAAGTTTAGGCAAAATTTCAAAACAAGGTTTCAAAGTTTTTGATTTAAAATCATGAATTTCATTCCTAATTACAAGGGTGTTGGAGCGGGCTTTTTAACTAATTTGTTGCTGAATCCGTCCTCCCAAAACCTTTCCCTTTTCCTCTCTCCACCTTTAATCTTCTCTATTTTTATCCAATCTATTCATTTGTTTGTATCTCTCGATATCCTTTATGAACTCTTACAGAAAAGTCGATAGATTGGTTAAAAAAAAAAAAAGATTACGGTAGAAAAGGGAAAGGGAAAACGTTTCAGGAAACAGATTGATTTAAATGGCTTTAAATGGCTTTAAATGGCTTTAAATGACTTTAAATGGCTTTAAATGACTTTAAATGCAAATCTTCTCCTCCACTCACCACAATGCCCAATGCGACAAAAGTCGGCCCTCGTCTCGTCTCGAAATCTTTCGAATTCACCGAATAACACGGCAAAACACTGCCCTCTTTTTCTTTGCCCGTCAACATCTGAATAAATATGAATGGAAATTCATTTTAACTGACTTAAGATAAAAGAAATGATAAAAAAAATGAATGAAAATAGCATAAAAGCCTGAAAATTCAAGACGAATACTTGAAGATTTCATAAGAAAATGCTTTTTTACAAATTTTCAAAAAGAAGCTTACGATTAAACTCTGAAATCCAATGAAAAATAGAATTCCAGGAAATGGTTCTCGCAATTGGCAATTGCAATTCAGGCAATTGAGACTCAGATCATTGAGGTGAAGTCGGAAACTCTTCAAATAAAGCTTTAAAAAGAAGAGAAATTAATATACCGTATTTTCTCTAATAGTAGTCACCAACTCGGCGAGTTGAAGCCGAGTTGGTGACGATTTTACGGTTTCAAAGCTTTTGCAGAAGCGGAACACTCAAATCCCCCACAAGATCTCATCGTCAGCTACATTTCCCGGCCCCACATCGATAGCTTCTGATAAGCGGTTCTTGAGATTTCGAGGAATTTAGGTGCTCTGGGTGCACTACTATTAGAGCTCTGAGTGCACTACTATTAGAGCTCTAATAGTGTGCCCCAGACACCAAATCCTTAAATTCCTGATTAGGTGCTGATAAAACTTGAAAAAAAGATGAAACCAAACTTCTATAGAAGATCCGAGTTTTCTCAAAAATGACTCAATTAAGCACCAGGTCGTCGATTTTAAGAAAGAAATCTTGAAACAAAGCATTTTTTCCCTGATTTTTGTCATCGCTTTTGCCCCATTTATGGGCTGATTCGGCTGAGATTTGTGGCTTTTGACTAATTAGAAAAATCATTACAAAAAGCTATGTTGATAAAGTTTATGAAAAAAATGAATTGACTCTCTGACTGTTCGACTGATTCGGCTTTAACCTCCATCAAAAGTAGATTCTTCGGTTCCTTTGAAACCCCGAAATTCCCAAATTTTTCCCGATTTCCCTCGTTTTTCCTCATTTCCATTGCCTTTTTTTTATCCAAAGAACTGACGAAAAGTGTACTATTTATGCAATTTTGCGTCAAAACAATTTAAAAAATGACTCAAAGTGAGCACCGAAACAAGCAATGAAACAAATCTGGAAAGGAAGCCAATTTTTTGGGGGTTTTCTTCCGAATTTCTTTTCTTTTTTTTGAATTTTTGAAAGCACAAGCAAATCTTTGACTTGGTTTAATCAGTCAAAAAAAAATTGCTCTTGCTAATTGCTCTTTGCTTTGATTTGCTTTGCTTTGCTTTGCTTTCCAAGCGAAAATTGCTAATTTTCTTCCAAAACTGACCGTGGCCGACGGCTCCCCGGGACCAGGGCCCCGGCGAAACAAGTGTCTCTCCCGGTTTTCATACTGTAGGGGAATTGGCCCCGTGTGTGCCCTATTCATGTTGAATAAAGATCTTTAAAAACAACTGTACAGTGTGGCTTCCACCCAAAAAAGCGAAAATACTCGTCTTATTGTTTCCCAAAAGTGTGGTTAAGGCGCTAAAAGTACCAGTAGGCGGAAAGGTGTCTTAAAAGAACTCGACTATAAAATCTTTCTCTCTTAGGTCCTTCCCGTTCTTGATGAAAAAAAAAGAATCTAGTTTGAATTTTGCTTTTAAAAACTATTGCGCTATTTTCCCTTAACAATCTACCGTATTTACTCTATTAGTGGGGTCCTCTCTAATAGTGGGATCGTCTGGAGGGGGGTTGAAAAAATACTGGGGTCCTCTCGAATTGGAAGAAGATATTGGTAACGAAAGTGATACATGAATTGTTGATCTCTTGGATTAGTTCTTTTACTGTTTGTTAATGTTTTGTTACGGTTAAAGCTAAATAAAATATGAAGCCAAACTTGTTTTGTCAAAATTTCGGGGAAAATTGACCCTACTATTTCAAGATTTAAGGCTTTGGTTTTATTTCTTTTAAATTTCTCTAATAGTGGGGTCCTCTCTAATAGCGGGGTCGTCTGGAAGGGGATTGAAAAAATAGTGGGGGACCCCACTAATAGAGTAAATACGGTATTCTAAAAGTTTACGGCTAAACATTACAAAGACAATTTCTATGCTTATATTCAAAATTTTGAAACAATGCTTTTTTTATTAAAGAAATTTTTTCATTTTCAAGTCCCCGGTTGTCTAAATGAGTAAAAAAATCGTTGAAAAGTATTGGGTTTCAAATTTTGCCCCTCTATCAATAGAAATTGTGAAATTTTTTGAGAACAATAAGCTTGAATTGAACTTAAGCTAAAATTTAGGGGACTTTGAGCAAATCTCATTTGATATGGTAAATGTTTCAATGTTTCAAAGGGATCGGCTACAAATGGAATCAGAGAAACTGACAAATTTTAATAAATAGAAATCGGGAAATAAATAGAAAAAACATTTCATTTAAAGAGTAATCAAAAAAGTCAAATCAAAATATTTTTAAAAAAAATGCTTAATGAAGATTGTTGAGTTTCAAAATTTCGATATAAAGACTGGTGAAAAAATAATTTTTTGACAACAAAGAGCAAACATTTCGATGGATTTTGGTGGGGGAAAAGGCCAAAAAGCTGAAAGAAAGGGAAAACGGCGGGATTTGTTCGAGATTTTTGTGCCCAAATTCCAGAAATCGGGTCTCAAAAATGGGAAATTATGCTCAAGAAATTACGCATTCTAATGAGGGTTTTTTTCGGATTTCTCATGAAAAACGAACACAGATTTACTTCTGATGCTGATTTTTAGTGTCATTTTTGTTTTTTTTTGAGTTTTGAGTCATTTTTTTAACCATTCAAGAATAGTACTGCCTCACCCACCCAAGCTAACGTTCCCGGCTGTGGCCGCGCGCTTCGCGGCTTCGCGCGTGGCCTCAGCCATAAACACAGTTGATTGAGATCTTTGGGGGAGGAACTTGACACTTTTTTCATGTTTTAGCAAAATTTGAGTGCTTTTTTCAAGAGATATTTCAGTTTTTTTTGTCATTTTTCCAATCGAACTCAACAAATGAGGCGATATCAAGATTGAAAAAAAGCTAGAACAAAAAGAATTCCAGATTCGAAAAAATTAACTATTTTTACCTTAGGCAAGCTTTTTCTTTAGCACATTTCTGCTTCTGGATATCTGGATATCTGGATAAATGTCGGTAGAGTACAGTGAGTTCTTTGCCTCTCAAAAATCAGCATAAATCTAATCTATTGATCACTTAGTTTACAAGATTTCCATAGATGGCTCTCAACGCATCCCAAAGACATCTCAACCTTTCGAAAATGTCCCGCGCGGTGGTGGTCACGTCTCTCGATTTTAAGCTGATCACTTTCAGAGTTGGGGGGGTTCAATTTTGATTTTTAAAGATAAACTTTTTAAAGATTAGATAAAGATAAACAAAATTTCCAGGAAAACGTTTTTCGAAATTGTAATTCAAAATCGAATTTGAATTTCAAAAATTTTGAAACTCAAGAATTGAAAAAATGTTGAATAAGGGTAAAAGTTGAAATTTTTGAATGGCAATATTTTAAAAAGATTTCTTAAACCAAAAAAACCTTTTTTTGGCTTGAAAAGCCTTGCTGAAAAATGGGGAATTGTTGAGAAGAAGTAATGAAATTTTTAAAGCAAAAAAAATGGGTTTATTTAAGGTAAATTAGTCAAATTTCTTGCATGGCAGGCAATGGAAAAATTTTTTTTTCAAAAAGGGGAATAAGAAAGAAAGCTTCGTTCTTGTTTCCCTCAATTTCTTTTAGTTTAATTAAATTTAATAAGCATTCACAGGGGAATCACAGAGAATACTACCTAGAACGAAGTTCGGGGTGGGGGCACATTCTTAAAAACCTTTGTTTCAAAAAAGGGGAATAAGAAAGAAAGTTTCGTTCTTGTTTCCCTTATTTTCTTTTAGTTTAGTTAAGTTTAATAAGCATTCATAGGGAAATCACAGGGAATACTACCGGGAACGAAGTTCAGGATGGGGGGCACATTCTTCAAAAACCTTTGTTTCAAAAAAAGTCAAATAGGAAAGAAAGTTTTCTTCTTTATTTTCTTTTAGTTTAATTAAATTTAATTAAATTTAAAAAGCATTCACAGGGAAATCTTTAAAGATTATTTGGAAATTCGGAGTAAATAAAAGTACAACGTTTTTTTATGAGTAATGTTTATGAGAGAATTTGGTCGTTTACTTTGCTGTGCTAAAGGGTAAAGGCACCTCAATTCATTCTCCAATTCTTTCATTTTCCTAGTTTCTGTGAGGGGAAAATAAAAGAATTGCCGTGCGCCAGAAAGGGAAAAGTTGAAAATTCTCGAATTCCAATATTTGCTGTGCTCTCGGAATCCTGTATAAATTTGAAGAATTAAAGAAATGTTGAAATGAAATTGAAAAGGAAAGATGTTTCAAAGAGTCAACTCAAAAAAAGAAAGCTCTAACCTCTCGCATTTTCTATCAGAATTCTCAATTCTCACCCGTTTCTCAAAAATCTTTGTTTACCGAATGAATCACTATCTCTTTTTTCCCTTTTTTTTCTTTATCCAACTGAAAATGGACTCTATTTTGCCTTTGGATTGATTGAAGTTTGAAAACTTTACGAAATATTGATTCGAGCTCTTCATTTTGAAAGTTTTGAAAGTAGAACAGAAAAATTGGAGTTAAGAAAACGTTTCTAAGGTCTAACTGAAGCAATTTATGCCAAAACGAATATTGAATTGCTTGACCATGCTTGGAAAACCATCAATTTGAAACACAACTTTTGAAAACACTACCCGAGAATGGACTTTTTGTTCTCTTTAATGCAACACCTTAATTCATTCTTCAATTATTTCATTTTCCTAGTTTCTGTGAGGGGAAAACAAAAAGAAATGCCGTGCGCCAGAAAGGAGCTGTTAGCTTACAAAGTAGCTGTTAGCTTACAAAGTAGCTGTTAGCTTACAAAGTAGCTGTTAGCTTACAAAGTAGCTGTTAGCTTACAAAGTAGCTGGTAGCTTACAAAGTAGCTGTTAGCTTACAAAGTAGCTGGTAGCTTACAAAGTAGCTGTTAGCTTACAAAAAGTATCAAATTGCTTTCAAG